GGAATTAAGGTAAGCAAATCTTTAGTGAATTTTAGGTAAAAATTTATTATTTTTCTTTCTTTTTTCTTTTTTTTTTTAGGAAATTATCACCTTGATAAGTAAATCAGAGATGACTTTTTGGATAGAAATTCACTATTTTTCTTTTTTTTTTCTTTTTTTTAGGAAATTATCATCTTGGTAAGTAAATCAGAGATAACTTTGTTTGGATTTTTTAATCTTATTTTTTTATTTTTCTTTATATTCTTTAGAAATACACTATAATAAGTCAATCAAAGGTAGTATTAAAAACTTATTTCTTTATTTTACTTTATTTTTTTATAAATAAATCTTATATTTATCAATTGAAGTAAAATAGGCTTTGAAGTGGATTTTTAATTATTTTTTTATTTTTTTTATTTTTTTTTAAAAAAATCACATTTAATAAATTATGTAAAAATAATAAAATTAATAAAATTTAAATAAATATAAATTAATTATTATTAATTCCAATTTGCTTGGCTGAATTTAGATGATTGATAATTAAATTTAAGTAGTTTTTAGGTCATTTTAGATAGCTAATTGAGCTGATTGATGAATGATTAATATTTCTGATTGACATATTATGTCAATCAAAATTAATATAAATTAGCCCTAAATCAGCCATCAATCATCCATTAATCATCTATCTGATTTTTAGCTGATTTGTATTTATATTGATTAGTATAAATTCATACTACAAATTGAAGATAATAGCAAAGTATTTAAAGTATTTTTAAATTTGTAAAATTATTTTATATATAAGTATCATTTTATTAATTTGATTTAATATGTATATATTATTAATGTGTAATTTTTATGAATTATAACTGTTAGATAGAGTATCTGAATATTGATTCTTTTTAATTATGCAGTAATCATAATACTTTACAAGTTTACTTAATGATTATTTCTAAAAAGATATTTTATATAAGTATTTCATAAATATTAATTCGCGATTTATTAAGTTATTATATTGCAAAATAATATGGAAGGTTTACTAGAAAAATGGAGTTCTAAATTCTTATTAAAATTTTGATTTTTATTGCATTTTAATTTTTAATAATATTAGATTAAATGCAATAATAGAGTTCCAAATGAATTGAATTAACTCATGAGTCAAATGAATTGTTGAGTTTGAGTTGAATCATGGCAAAAATTTTGTGACTCATTTGATTTGAGTCGAGTTATTAGTTGATTCAATTAATAATTAACTCAACTTATTTCAATTTAAGTTGAATCAAATTACGCTATCACATGATTTGATATTACATAAATTACCATTTTTGGAAATTTGTGTAATTATTTTTGGTGATGTTTTAACTTTTTTGATAACCAAAAATTTTCTTTTTAGAAATTTGTGCAACTGTGTATCCATATTTGGTATTTTGGATAACATATTTTGATGGCAAAATACAATCTCAGAAATTTCCAGAATTTTAAAAAATATATCAATTACAAAGCTTAAAATGACTATTTTTAATATGTTTCTTAAATATCTCAGTATCTAACGATCTGTTAGAAATGTAATACATATTATTTTGATAAATGCATTTCAATAAACACTATGATGCAGATTTTATGAAATTCTGATTGGTAAATCATAAGATAATAGCCTCTGAGACTTTAATATAATTTTACTATTTTATTATTTAAATAATTAGCAAATATATTATTTATTTGACTTAAGTTAAGTTGAGTCAAATTAAATATAACTCAAGTCAAATTGAGTTAAAGTTATAAAATTTTTTGACTTAACTTAACTTGATTCAAATTTTTTGAGTTATTTTTAAACTCAGTTTGACTCAATTCATTAGGAACTTTATACAATAAATATTAAAATTTTAATAAAAAATGCTTAGAACACCATTTTTCTAGCAAATCTTTTATATGTTTATTTATGAGTTAAGAAAATAGAAAATAAAAAGATTTCAAGAAAAAGAAAAGAAAATAAAAAAATGAATTATTAAACTAAAAGTAATATAATAAACCTGTTTATCTTTTAAAACTATTAAAAACTAACTTGGCAAATCTTGCTTTTTATATGATCTAAAAAGCTACCTATTTATATAAAATATATTACATAGAAAGATAAAACTAATATATTATATATCTAATTTATCATATATGACAAATATATCTAATATGTCAAATATATTTAATTAATCAATTATATCAATATATCAATTATGTTAGATAAGTTATATATGTTAGAAATATTAGATATATCAGATTTGTCAAATTGGTCAATCATTTGCATCACATATACCTTGTAATATTTATTTATTCAATATGATTATTGTAAAAATTATGTGATTTTGTAGTATTATTTAAAACATTTTGTGCTATTTTGTTTAATTATTTTATAAAATACTATTTTATATATAAAAAAAGCTATGATTAATAGCAAAGCTATATACATGTAATCAAAATATAATCTATTGTTAAGATACTTACCAAAATTTCCTCAAAATAATTTTGTCATAATCTTTACTATATTTTTAATATAATTTTGGTTAATTTTGGATTTTGGGATTTCATCGTATTCCTCATTATATTTTAATATAATTTTGGCTATTTATTAATTGCTTTTTTTGGATTTTATCCCTTATCTTTATATATTGCAATTTAAAAATGTTTTGTTTAAAATAACATCTATTTTATACTAACATTTAAACTATTATCAAATTATCATCCAAAATAAATGCTTGAGACCTTTTGCAAATTATGTAAAATTATGTGCATATTCATATTAAGCATTTTGTGATTTACTGTATATAAGCTATCATCAGCGTAACAATTTTTTATTTAACTTTATAACTTCTCTAATGTAATCACTAAAAATTACCAGCACATGATAAATTTTGCTATGAATATTTACACATTCTACAAGTTTGCTTAGAGTTTAAAAAAAGGGTTTAAATTCTATTTTTTAACTTATATATTGTATTTTTTTACAAAAGAAATTTATATTGAAAATATTAATTTTCTCTTTAAATAAACTTGTAGAGAAAATAAAAATTACATATAAAATTCAATTTTAGAATCTATATTATACCTTTATTAAGTATTATTCAAAAAAAAAATAAAATCAAATTTTTTTGTTAAAATGTATTACCTATTTTAGAAATGATTGACAAATTCAAATTACATACTGATGATTTTTTGGTGGTTATGCTAAAAAAATCTAATTTTACAATAGTATTATGTGATTTTAACTTATGATTACAGTATTCTTTTCTTGCTGATCTGCATAATAACAATCAAAATAAATGGCTTATACTACTTTTGAATCTCAATATTATTGTTTTATTTAAATGTCTAAGACTTATTTATGAGTTGTTATTACTTTATGATAACAGATTTCCTAATATCAGATTTACATTATAGACTATATTCTCATCTTTGATGACAAAATGCAATAATAAAGAAATCTTAAATTAATTTTTCTATTTGTGTTAGCCAAACCACAAAAGTTATTCTTAATGATAGGAACTTTTATATTGCTATTGTAATAGGAAATTTTGATAATCCTTTTGCTTTTGTACTTCAGGTACTTTTTCAAGTAAAGTAAATAATGATTCTTTGATAAAAATATAATTTCTTAATTATCCTAAAATATTTCTTTTTTTCCTTTTTCTTGTTTTGTTGGAAAATATCTAGTTGATATTAAAATAATAATAATATTAATAATAAATATTTTCATTTTTAATAAAAATATAAATTTATTTTACCAAATTAACTAGGAAAAATGATTAAGAAACATAGCTGTGAATGTAATAAGTACAAAAAATTAAAATGATTAATTTATTTGTAAGTTTTTAAAAAAAATAAAATAAAAATAAATGATTATTTTCTTATAAAATAGCATAAAAGGATTCTAAAATTCTGAAAAAACTTCTTATACATGAAAATCACAAAGAGAATATGAACGTTTCAAATACGTTTGAATAATCGTGAGATAAGGGAGAGACTAGAACAAGTATTTGATGGAATCACGTATACTGACCAACATAATGAATCATGATAACGAAAGAAAATTTATAGCAATTTCCAAGTATTATTTATGTGAAATATATATCAAATTTGCAAAAACAAAAAATCAATATTGCCTTTTCAGGATCACATATCAAGGATGGAAACTTCCGGATGCCTTCAAGAAAGAATTCATTTCAAATGCTCTATTTGATCTAGATCAGATCATAGAGTGCGACCATGTTAAAAAGTACGAAACCTGATTTAAACTATAGTTTGCTGATTCTTTCAAATTTTAATATATAAATACAAATAGTTAAGTTTAGAATAAGCGTCATAATATTATCGTATTTGTCAGCTGAACGGAAAAATTATAATACCAATTTTTTGGTTTGATTAAAAAAATGACAAATATCACATCTTTTTTCCTTGGGTTTTATTAAAAGATCAATGACTGTATACAAATGATACCAATAACGTATTACTGTGAATAGTATTAATAGCAGTTCTTTAGTATTTATGCGTTATAAACGAATAAGCAAATCTAATACAATATAGATAAGATATTTCCTACACATCGGTGCTCTATACGATCAGGTACATTTATTAATTATTATGGGGTTATTACAATAAAATGTAAAGGGAAAGGGATTTTATTAAACACTAAATATGAACATGAATGAATTATTTTATTAAAGACAAATTCCTCCACTTATATACATGAAAAACAATAGGACATTTTTGTCCAGGAGACTGAATTGACCAGAGAACAAAAATAGCCAGTGGACTATTCGGACTACGATACAATTATGGCCAGTGAACAGGACAATATTGTTTTTATAGTACTAACTAAATGTTATTAGAACATATCGCTTATTGAATTTCTTGATACATGTAATAGAAAATAATACTAAAATGATACTAACAATCAAATAATAAAATAATACTAATAATACTAATTAAAATAATACTTAACGTTAATAAAAATGTAATAACAGTAATAATAAACGCTAATAGTGAATGTCAATTGTGACAATAAATACTTTGTTGCCTTTTTCTCCTATATCATCCAATCAATCCCTTTGGTTTTTCTAATAGTTCTTCGTAATATAATAATAACATATACTAAAATTAATTGTAACAAAGCATTTACAATTCTAGTAACAAAATGATTATATATATTTCATGAAATAATAATTTAAATAACATCAAATTAAAGTGCTCAAGGCAAACCCTATTAAAAAGATACCGCCGTTAGTCCAAAATACAATTTCACTTATTCCATTAACAATTCCCCAACTATATAATTGATTCATCCATAAAGGACTTAAAATACTTCCTATACTTTCTATTACACTTATAGCACCTAAAACTTGCCCAGATTGATTCGATAAAACATAAGTTGTAAATAAACTCCTCATGGCGGGGGAAGTTATGGTAGCCAAACTATTAATTACACAAGCAAAGTAAAACCAATCAGGGTTGATAGCTATAGCAAATAAGATGAATCCTATAATTTCCATTATTAGACCACCTCGCATCGTCCATATATCTAATGAACGTGAATTGGTTGGATTATAACGCAATCGAATCAGATGTAATAACGGTACAAGAAGGATCAATGCCAAAAGACGCGTAAATGATTGTAATGATAAAAAATATCCATTTTCTAGTGATGTCCAATGAAATTTATATTTTGTATATAAATTTACGATTTCGTTTTGCGCTATAAATAATAAAAAATGTCGGTGATTAAAATATATATATATATATATAATTTTATCGGATGAAAAAATCTATTCATTAACTTACCAGCTTGCGAGACCTTATAAAAAAAATAAATTACAGCTAAAATATATAAGGTATTTCTTCCTCTCCAATTATCTTCCTCTATTCCAACGGGGATTTGTCTTAAAACAGTTAAAGGTGATAAGATATTTTTTATAGAAGTGGGTGGAGATATTAAAAAATTTTGATTACGCATACTGGGAGAGACTGTTTCTGGTACAATTAATGAAACTGTAATTAAAAATATAATGAGGGCACAAATTGCTATATAAAATATCGAAAGAATAGATCCTGTAGCCTTTATAAATAATAAAATTATAAATTAACGTGAATTAAAAATAAAAGGACCTTAAGGACAAGGACCCCTCACCTTGATAATCAAGCCACCCAATGTAGGCCCAATTGACATACCACAATATGCAGTGGCATGCATTAAACTAAACGCAACACTTCTATTTTCACAACTCGTGCAATCACTTAAATAGGCATGGCACGCCGTATTTATTGTAATTACACCTCCAAGCAATCCTTCTATAACTGAACCAACAAATAAAAATTTGATCCCCACTATCTTCCAAAAATGTGCTACTACCAATACATTTGCTAAAGCAAGTATTAAACCAACTGTTGATAATTTAAATACAAATTTACGTCCCAAATAATCTGATAATGTGGAAAAATATCCGGTTGATATAGTTACTGGTATCCAAAGAATAAAATGTTTTAGTTTAATAATTGAGAATCAAAAATAAAATAAAGGAAAATGTGTTAAACCAACCTGCAACATTTAATAAAGTTGTATACCACATTATATAATTTGATGCATTTACTTGAATTTCTGGTAAATCACATTCATCTCCAAATCGTAAACTTTTATTTTTATTTTTTTCATTAAATTCTTGACAAACTAATTCCACGATAAGCTGCACTAAAGGAGCCATTGTTGAAGACATGATTATAGATAAGGTTAAGCTAAATGGAAGCATCCATAATAAACGTTGTTTACGAAATTTTTCTAACCATGTTTCTTGATTTTTATTGAAATTTTCATCAAGTAAACGACTCGTTTCTGATAGTGTTTCTATCGTATCATTATCTAAGGGATTAATTGACATTTTGTAGAGATTACAAAACTACAATATTAAAAGGAAAAGCTCAAATTCAATGATTCAATCATTCAATGTTGATCACTTTCCGACCATACGATCAAATTTACGATCAAATTTTCAATTACGCCTTAACTTCCGAACCCATATCGGAACTTTTTACTTAATAAGTTTCGTGCGGTGGAGTTTCGCCCGAAGTTTCAAGTATTATTAAATTCTACCTAATTATATAATCTGGCTGAGCAAATATCAAAGATATATGTCGTATGTGATTGGCAAAAAATGCCCTTGTGTTTTTAGAAAGGAAATTTGCTTTTCCTCTGTGCCTTTAAAACTGGTTTACTCTACCAATAGAATTTCTGTGTTCTTAGTACGATGTTTGAATTAAATTTCGTCTTAATATTCTTCTTATACTTTCAAAAATAAAAAGGGTTAAAGATTTACTATGTTCAAACAAAGAACTAATAATCTTAAACTCCCTCTCCTTCTCTGGTGCTTTCTTTATTAGTGGATATTCCACCACCAGTTTAAAATTTCCGCGTTATTTCCTCCCTTATTAATCCTTTCTTTTTATTCCTTCTTTTTACATTTTACATTATTTAATTTCTCTCCTTCAGACTTATTTTCTTCGCGGAAAACCCCCTTTCTTTTCAGAGAAGCACCACCTTTTACATTAACTAAATTCCTTACGACATAATATATAATGGGAGGGTCACTTTCGAAAGCTTTGGCCAAGATCTTTGGAAACAAAGAAATGCGCATCTTGATGCTTGGCTTGGATGCTGCTGGCAAAACAAGTATCCTTTTTATCGGTTCTATGACACTTGAATCTGTTTTGGCTCAATTCTTCTTAATGTTCTCTATTAGTTAGCTTGATTTGAATGCGTTTATCTTAAGACTTATGGCATTCGCAAAATATTATTATTATTCTTAATTTTGAAATTAACCAAATAGCAATTCTTTATAAACTAAAACTTAATCAATCCGTTACAACAATCCCTACCGTTGGCTTCAACGTGGAAACTGTGACATATAAGAATGTCAAATTCAATGTTTGGGTTAGTATTTTATCTTTTAAAAATTATATTAAGAAATAATATGTTAATTTTTTTTTTTCTTCCAGGATGTTGGTGGTCAAGACAAGATTCGTCCACTATGGCGTCATTATTATACTGGTACTCAGGGACTTATATTTGTGATTGACTCCCAAGATCGCGATCGAATTGATGAAGCACGTCAGGAATTGCATAGAATTCTTTCAGATCGCGAAATGCGAGATTGTTTATTATTAGTATTTGCCAACAAACAAGATTTGCCGGGAGGTATATCATCTTTCACATTTAACTTTCGTAATTGTTATACAATGGATGTTAACAAATAAATTTATTATTATAGCAATGTCACCTGCTGAAGTAACAGAAAAACTTGGATTACATCGTATGAAAGAACGATCTTGGTACGTTCATCCTTCTTGCGCGACCACTGGGGAAGGTTTATATGAAGGATTGAATTGGCTAAATCAAAATACCAAAACGAAATAAAGATTCACTCAAACTTATATTGTAAGGTTTTTAAATTCATTCCTTTAATTAGAGACAAAATATAGATTAACAATTTTGAATGGACTCGTTGAATACACTCGTGTTTGAACATTAATTTATAGTTAAATTATTTAATATTAATAATTAATTAAGAAGCGTATACGTTGTAATTATATTTTATTATATATTTCTAATCTTGAATAAAATTTGGCCAAGTTTTTATTTGCGTATACTATTTATTAAGTTAAAATAATGCCTTTTTCTGGTCAGTTTTGCCGTGTGCTTCATTATAATGTGGCCCTACTAGAATAAACCACTTACCAGCAAGCAAGTCTAACATTTACTATTTATAGATATATCTATTTAGATGTTAAAAAACGTACAAAATATATGATTAAAATTACCGTATTTTCCAAAATTATTCGCCCCCCTGAAATAAGCACCCCCTCCCCCACTTTACACGATTACATGCATAAACTGAAAATAAAGCACTCCCAAAAATTAGCATCCCCGGCTATTATTTATTTCATCAAAAATAATGTTTACAAATAATAAAAGTAAATAAAACAAAAAATTACACATCCTCAATTATTTCTAATTCTTTCTCTTTATTTTTATCTTCAATTTCACTAATAATTTCATCAATATCTTCATAAATAGCATCAACTTCAGATCCAACTCATTTGATATGCCGCATTTTTAAAAGAACAGACTATAATTTCCTTTGAAAGATTTTCCCATGAATGTTTTACCTATCCACACATATCACTTATTGTAGCATGTTAAAGGTTTCCTGCAATAACACCATATTATTCATCTACTGATACCATTCTTGATCCTTAAAAAGATTTGTTAATTACATCAAGTGGTTGACAAATACTTGTCAAACCAGGAATCACAGCCAAATCAACATTATTTTTTTAAATTTCTTTTTAATTGAATCCTTCAAATACCCTCTAAAAGAAACAAATCATTATTGATGAAAATTTAGATTGTTATTTGTAAAGACTTTTTAATTAAATCCTTCAAATACCCTCTAAAAGAAACATAAATTATTATTGATGAAAATTTAGATTGGTTATTTGTAAAGATAGTGCTGCAATTGCTGCAATTATCAAAAAAATGTCACAATTATGTTACAACTTATGTCACAATTAAAATCACAATTAGGTTGTATCTCAAATGAAATTTAAAAACAATTATGGAAACCGTCTTTAGTTATTTGATATTCTTATACAATTAAAATAATCAATATATCATTTCATTAAGTTCACATTTATCTAACCATTTTTTTGAAATCAAACAATTATATTAGAGAATACCTTTTTTTTTACATAGCATTTGCTTTCCTTTAAAAATGCAAATTTGTAGTAGTTTAGTACCATCAATAATTAAAAAATTAGTATTTAAAAATTTTTTAATATTATTAACCATTAAGTTTCTTACCTACAATACATATCAAAATAATATTAAACCATTTTCTGTTTCATAAATATGAACAGTTTTTTTACTTTTTGAATTAATAGTAATATTTTCAGCTATATTAAACCAGATAAAAGTTTTATTTATCTTAAAAATATTATATAATTTAATAGAATTCTTTATCTTAAGATGATGAATAAATCAACAAAAATTTACTAATAATTCTTCTGTTTGCTTAGAAATATTCTTGTATATTAACATAAAGTTAAATTATATCTTTTTATAAATCTAGTTAATCAGCGAAAAGTTAAATAAATTTGATTACTATAAAGAATTATCATATCTGACTTTCTCAAAATTATAAATATTATAAGGCATATAATTATATACAATGTCATTGTAGGTTCTTAACAATAGAGCTCTGAACAGCATGATAGAAGTCCCCATGATGACTATAGTTACACAAACTATTTATATAGCGTATACAATAGTATATATATATGGTTTACAATGATTATATTACATCACATGAAAGACGCACCCGTTTGCCATGAAATTTTACAAAAACGTTCCTTCGATACTACTCTAACGCAATAAGAAACTGATCTTTAATAATCTCTATTCTTGCGAAAGTTTCCTTAGACATGAATTTTGGCCTATTGTATTATATATAATTTATATTGTGCATTTATTAGCGTTGGTATATATGTAACTGTTCGTATAAAAGTTAATTAAAATAAGACTATTATTGTTGTGATTTAATGAAGAAAATTTTTATTACATTTCTAATTTATTTTACATTATCACTATTATCAGGAATTTATATTATTAATTGCTATTGCCAATGCAACAGAATTATCTGTCTGTTTACATTCTGTCTCCTCCGTCTTTTCTTCCCTATCTTCACCAATTTCATCATCTAAATCATCCTGCGTAAGTATATCTGTTCCCTTTTTAATCCTTTTTAAAAATGCATTTACATTTTCATAGATACCATTTTATTAAAAATTTTCACAATAAACACACCTTTTATCATAGCAAGCCGAATGATAACCATAGTCACAAACAAGTACTACACTATCATCATCCATTTGAAGTTTACAATAGTCACATAATCCTAATTGTGGTAGATGTGATATGCTGTATGCTGTTGATAAATGGTGCAAATCTACTTCTTTTCCTAAGGTAGCTAGTTTATACCCCTTTAGTTTCTTTTTTTTCTATTGCTATATACCGGAATGCTATTGTTTTGATTGCAAAATATATTATGAAAGTATTTTAACAAAAAAAGGCTTGTTTTATCAGATAGAAAATCGAGTGTAGATGGGTTGTATGGATAATGACGAGATTTACAATATGTATCTTTAAACATAGGATTGTGATCCGCTATTTATTATTAAAAAAAAAAAATATTGATTTTAATAATTTTACAATTATTACATATTGGTATTTACCAATAACATATGCCTGTTTTATAATGTTTTCAACAGTTGCATTTGAAGATGTATTTGCTCTTATTCGACTATGAGTATTTTCATTAAAACATGATAGGTATTTTTTGATTGTATCAGCAAATGGATGACAGTTATCCTACCAATAAAAAAGATCTGATAAGAATATAAGAGGAGCTTTATTGTAATTTTTTCTTTTCCATCGTAAGGCAAATGTCCAGATATGAAATACAGTTTCTACATATTTTTCAAATGATTCAGATCTAAATAAAATTGCATAAATATCAAGTGTAAATGGAATTAAATTATCCAATAAATCAATTGTTGTTCGATATTCAACATCTTTACATGTTGAATCAAATTTTTGCATAATTTTATTTTTAATTTTAAGCCAAACACTTCGTGCAAGTTCTAGAAGAAGGTTGATTCACCATGGTTTAGGTTTTTTTTGCTAATTTTTTACGTTCACCAAATACAAAATGAAACATTTGTTCAAAAAAAGAATAATAAATTATCATAACATGCTCCCTACTATTAAGAGAAAGATGAAGTAGTCCTAGCATTGGTATAAATGAATTGATTTCCTTTAGAATAGCAGATTGCAGTCCTGATATGTGCAAATGCGTCAATGCTTTTCTAATAAACAATTGACCAGGCCAATCTGCAACAACAGGTGCAACTTGATTTTCTAAATGCTTTGTTTTTTATTTATAGTTAAAATGATTTGTAATGCTTTCAATAATCTTGCATTGAATGCAAATTCTATTCCTTAAGCCAAATTAATTTAAGCCCATTCATTGATCTCTCTTCCTTTCGTTCAGCAATAGCGTCATCATAAATGTGAACAGTTAAAAGTTCAATACAATCAAAAGCATTGATACCCTGGTGTTCTTGTAAAGTCCAAAGATTTGTATATGAAACATCAAATAATCCAGTATATTTATTAAGTAAATGCCAGCAAATTCTTGGAGCTTCGATATTATTTGGATTATGGATAGATACACCATTAAACATGAGTGGTACTGCAGAACATTCTACATCAGGTTTTGCAACACATGTAGTAAAATACTTTGCTATTGATGTTGATACTGTATCCGGCCTTCGCTTTTCATGAATAGCATGATAATCATCTATGTTGTATATATGTAAACAATTTCCCTATTATAAAAAAAAAAATTTAATTTTTATAATATATTTCTAAGTATTTTTTTAAAATAAAAGCTTACCTGTTCTAAAAAATGGTTTTCAATTTTAATTATATGATTTAT